TTATAGTTATAAAAAATGTAGGAAGTATCAATAGTACAAAAAATGATTCCTACTCAATGATCAATGTAGAATTTCATAACAAGACACAAAATCGCGGTTATAATTTACATGATGATTTTAATTATTCGATGGCATGTCTTAATTTTCAAGGTGCATTATTTGCAGTAGGATCAAGCAAAGATAGCCCAAGTGTTTTATTTTTTAAATCTCAAAATACTTGGGCAATTAAAAATGAATGGATGACCACTTTTCCTAAAGATGAAGTTATTATAGGTACGATCAATCATATCAATATTAATGTAATTGATCAATCTATCAATAATATTTCTGTAATAATTATATCAAAAAAATAGGAATTGCACTAAGTAGTCTAGCGATAATTGTCGCAACTTCTAAAAATTTCATAAGATTATTCACGCTTTCTGGTGTACAACTTTATATCTTTGCATTGGATTCAGTAGTTTGTATGGATGCTTACCAAGAGTTTGCTTTGATTGTATATCATCTAGGAACAGGTTATCGAGGTAGTAACAGGTCTAATTGATTATCGAGAAATTTTATTTTGGTATTCAATCAATTAATTAACACTGATAAAAAAAATTTGTTAACTAAAGGATCGCAAAATCTTGGATATATGTTGTATAATGTAGAAACAAATGATATTGTTCAAAAAGAACAATTGCCAATATCTAAAGATTCAACTTTAGAATGGATTGGATTTTCAGATAAAGGGGTAATTAATAATTTATTCATCAATTATTTATGATTCTACAGTTTTAATAATAGTATCATCGTTTTTTATATAGTTACCAGCAATGTATGATTCTGAAGGAGTGTTATCTATTTTACATCGTCACAGACAATATCACCAAGCAAGATGGATACCTGTTTTGTATACTCGTAATAATCCAAACCCTGATGATGAAGCATCGTATTATTGGCCTGTTGGATTAAATGAAAACAAATTCTTGTGCATTGCTTGCAAGGTAAAAAAAAATATGAAACAGATACCAAAATGACAATAATTTTTTTAATAATAATATTTATTATAATAAAAAATCATTTATTTAAATAAGGATGGCGAAAGAATGCCACGTTATCCAAGGCAAAAGTTTCATGAATTTGATTGGCAAATCCCTCTTTTAAATCTTGATAAGCCAATTGGTAAAACTGAAGAAGTGTAAGTTTAAAATATGAGAACTTTAAAGTGTTAATCTTTTCTATTTTTTTTTTGATATAATAACAATTTTTTATTGATTATATAGATATGCCCGTATGAATCTATTAATAAAATTTGAGTGTGATGAAATCAGGGCAAAGAAAAAGTCAATTGATGAAGAAAAACAAAAAGAACTTGTTAAGATTTTAATTCAACCGAGATTTATTTAACGCGTGCATTCATTCTTACAATAAATAGAATTCGTTTATTATAATTATCGTTCATTACACACAATATATTTATATATAAAATATATAACATATAATATGTATATATATATATAGACGCAATATTTTTATTTTTTTAATTTTTCAAATATTATTTATTTACTTTAATTTTTTAAAAGCAATTTCTTTACAATCTTTTTTTCTTTGAATTTTTATTTTATCCACCCACCAACCCATCTCTTCTTCAACCACATCCATATCCACCTTCCCGTCCTTTTTCAATCCTTCGATCAATTTTCGTTGTCAATATTTCCGCCACTAAAATCCACGCCACATTTTTTTCTCGAGGAAAAAAAAATGAGTAGTATTAATGATTGGTGCTCTCAGGGTGATTATATATTTATTAATGCTTTTTTTAATTATTATATTATATTATCATAATTATTAATTAAAGATATATTATAGTCAAGAATATTCAGAAATTAGAATGTATAAATAATAAAAATATAAAAGATCAAAAAACTATAAACACTGTAACAACAGCATCATCATCAATAACTACATCACCGTCAACTACATCATTGGATTCAACATCATCATCATTGCCTCCATACAAGGATGTTATGTCAATTATTATTCCAATAAGTAAGTATTAACATTTATTAATCAGTGAATTTAAAATATTAGTAGTAATCATGCTATTACTATTACTATTATTATTATAATGAAACAATTATTCTAACTACTCATTATTATTATAATTATTAAAGGTGTTATGGGTGTAATATTATTGTTTACAATAATAACTTGTGTAACAATTCGATTTATTAAAAATTATAAAAGCAATAGTAATAGTAGTGG